AGAGAGAGAGAGAGAGAGAGAGAGAGAGAGAGAGAGACCACACGCAGGCACTTGAGCTGCCTCCAGCATACACTTGCGCGAAGTTCATGAAATACCTACCTCAAACTTCAAACTCCACGGAGGCTTAAAATTTCATGCTCTAAGCCACCTGACTTCTTTTTCATGTCCTTCCCAGTTATATAGATTAGAATATCTATTCGGGGAGGCGGAGGTGGAATTGGTGGGCCGAGAGGGTAGGCAGATTTGCGGACGAATACTTAGGATACGGTATCAGCTTTCTGTTGTCAAAGGTTGCGTTGTCTGTCTCTCTCCCTGCCCCTTTGCCCTATGCGGAGTTATCTACACCTACAAAATGTGTTCTTTCCAAGTGGATTTGAGGGGGCCGGCCAGAAAAGCAGAAGCCCGCCGCGCAGACCTGTCACCGCCTCCGGAACCGGGCTGAACTCTCCGCGAGGGAGACGCATCCTGAGGCTCCACGGTCGGGCGGCTAGCGGCCGCGCTCGGGCCGCGCTCTCCTCCGCTCCCCTCCGCGCCGGCCGCTGGGCGTCCTCCTCCCGCTCCTCCTCCCGCTCCCCTCCCCAGCCCGTGGCAGAGCCCGCCCCGGCGGTCGGGCAGCCTCGGCTCCCGGCAGCCTGCGCCCGCTCGGGCTCCGCTCTCGGCTCTCTCCTCCCCCGGCCCCGCAGTCCCAGCCCCGAGAAACTAGTCGTGGAGCTGCCCGGAAGGGCGGGAGTGGCCGGCGCTGGGGGCCGGCGCTGGGGCCCGGCCCAGGGCTCCGTCCCTGGCCCCCTCCGACTCCCCAACAGGTAGCTCGCACCCGGGCCGCGAGCTTTCGCTCTGCCTCCCTCGCTCTCTAGATCGCTCGCTCCGTCCCGGTTACCTGGGAGGACTCCAGGATGGTACCGCACGGGAGGGCTCCTTGTGCGCTGCGCCGCGGGAGTAAATGGCATTAAAGAAAAAGGGAAACACACAAATAAAAAAATAAATAAATAAACTAAAATAAAGGAGGGGAGTCGATGCTAGGTCAATTAGCACAGCCGGGGGAGCACGGGAGCAGAACCCCCCAGCGCCGCGGCCCCGCACCCCGTTAACTCAAGTCAGCGGGGGTGTCCCGCGGCGGGCGGGGGCAGCGCGGAGCCGCTTAAGTTTACCGCGGGGGTGCCAGGAGGTGCGCGCGGAACGGGGTGACTAGGGGCTTCCCCCCCAAACAAGTGAAGGCGATGGTTAGTGCTGTCAATCTTGGCAATCAGTGTGAGCGGCCATGTCGTAAGTATTCAAAGCATTTCCCGTCGTGCAACATCAGAAAGTGAGTGGCCAGGGCATTGATCTGAGCGAGGGAGAGGAGGCAGGGCTCCCCTCCCAGACAACTCAGGCAAGATGAGACAAGAGGAGAGGCGAGGGAGCAGCGAGCCGGGCGGGGACGCTGGGAGGGAGGGGAGGGCTCAGGGGAGGGGGAGGGAGGGAGGGAGGCAGAGGCAAGAGAGAGCCGCGCTGAGGAGGGCAGAGAGACCCGCGAGACCGGAGGTTGGATTAGCGAGAGCGTCTGGAAGACAGTAAAGTGACTACTAGGAGTGAACTTGAAGGGGACAAAGAGGGAGATTCAGGGTCAGAGGGAACGAGCGTCGAGTATTAGGTGCAGGCGAGGCAAGCTGCAGAGAGCGCTAGGAGGTTGAGGCTTCTGGGAGGAGGAGTCTAGAGGAAGGCAAGGTAGAAAGGTAGCCAAGTGGGGAGGAAAAGGAGCACACCAGGAGTGAGGAAGTCAAAGGGAGAGGAAAAGGGAGAGAAAGTAGCTGCGCTTTGGAAAAGTTAAGTGACAGGAGGAGGCTTAGGCTGAACTGAGATACACAGCTGGACCACGAGTGAGTCGGTGGGAGAAACCCAGAGGGGGAAGCAGGACGGAAAGAAGGGGGAGCAAGAATGAATAATAAAGAGAATGAAGAAAATGAGAGCAGTGGTCAAGAGAGAAAAAAGAAAGAGATGGAGGCAGCGAAGATCATGAGAACACCAGTTAGTAGAATCTCAGTAAATGGGAGAAAAGAAACTTATTTTAAAGCACGGAGGAGAAAAAACTTTTAAAAAAGGAAAGGGAATGACATGGAAGACTCCCAACTTATATAGGTGGTAGTGTTCTGGAAGCCATATGAATTATGCAGTTTATGAATTACATTTTTATGAATAATAAGATAAATAAACTAACAATGAAAAATTTATACCTTTATATCAATAGGTAAAATAGCTCCATATTTATTATGTGGATAAGTCTGTGTTGCATGGAATCAGGTGGATAATATATTGTATTACCTTACATATATAAAGAAAAGGGGTAACTTAGAGGTTGAATAAGATGAAATTTCAAGTCATCTAGGATAGCACACAAAAGTGCATTAGTCAGATATAGAAAACTATGTTAATAATCCCCAAAAAACTACACAAATTAAAGATTCCCTTTGATTAATGTATAGGATAGATTAGAGATTTGAGGGGTTTAAAATGGCCTAAAGAAGCGAAGACCTGGAAACTTATCTCCCTAGGGAGGAAAAAAGCTACAGAACCAGGAAAAGAGAGAATAATGGTGTTGTCAAGTAATTAAGATGCTAAATAAGAGGTAGGGAAATTAGCTTTGAAAATAGCACTAGCTAACCAAGGGCACTGTGCAAAGGGTGAAGGTTGATCTGCTTTGACCTAGGCCCAAAGAAATACTAAACTGGAGAAACTTACGTCAGTAAAGAGTCAAAAGTGACCCCACTAGCATAGCCTGCAGAGATCTCTGAAGGCTTCTGTTATGGTAAAGCTGATATAAGATAGCCACCATGAGACACCTCATACAAGACTGAAAGGAGATTTAGACCAGGAGAAATAGGTCAGCAATGGTGGTTTAAGCCCACAAAATGTTCAGGCAAGTTACAACTGCTAATATAAGGAAGAGCTTCCACAGATTAAGTGACAATGGATAAAAAAGGAAAAGTCTCATCTGTGCTGTGGAGAGAGTAAGCAAGCAAAGAAGAGAGACACTGAGATGGCAATCACATATTAGCTTCTTAAGGTATACTCTGTGTTCGCTTCCATACGAACTCCAGACAAGAGAAAGAAAAAAAGAAATAAGGGTGAAGAGGAGTACCCAGGATCAGTGGGGCAGAAGGAATGACCAAATATTTCTGTCCCAATGGGAAATATAGTGCTTGAGAACTAGAAGCTTGGGGATTTTGAGTTAAACTGACTTGATGCCTGTTCCTTGGAAGGAGAATGAGTCTCTGACAAGAACTCTTGTGTCTGAATCTCCTGCTGCGATTTTCAGAGTTGGAAAGTCAGTAGGCTTCCACAACCTATGGAAGGCAAGCAGGACTCTCTGGTACCTTACAGGCCAGCTCCTTTACATACTTGGGCTCCTAGAATGATAGGGCCAACTCTTGACCTCTGAGGCCCAGACCTGTATTTCTAACCTCTGTGTGTGTGTGTGTGTGTGTGTGTGTGTGTGTGTGTGTGTGTGTTTGTACACAGGTGCATGTTCACAAATGTGGCCCAACCGGGCCCAATTTTGGGTTCCTGAGCCTCATACTCCAGCCGCCAGTCCTGGAACTCAACCACACAGGAAAAAAAAAAGCTCAAAGATACTAAAATCAATAGACCTTTCCTAAAAACCTGCAGAGAGAAGAGGGGGTAAGTCAGGTTCCTCTGCCTGATTGCTCAGGGAACAGTAGGAAAATGGTGAAACAACAGGGACTGACACACTAGGGTGCAACTAGGTCTTCCCAATTTCAAACAGGTTTGGCTTCCCAAAGACCACAGCTTTCTAAAAAACACATCACATGGTCCTTAGGACTCTGGGAGGCAAGACTGACCCTGCCAACCAGATGCAGGCCGCTGGCCGGAAGCAAGAAGAAAAAGGAGACATGATCAAGGTCTCTGTTCTCCAAGACCCTAATATCACCCACGACGGATTTTCTGAAAAGGCGCATCAGCAAGAACACTTAAATTTTTAACTAATAAACTAATATCGAAGTTACATGTTATGGCAGCAACCCGGAGCAGGTCACAACACTGATCTCTAAAAGGAAGGAAACAAAAGTTTGGGGCCTCAGTGCTGCACTTCAAGCTGTGCATGGGGTGATGCATGGCTCTGGGGGGGGCGGGAGCCCTGGCTGAGGGTTTCCTCAAGACTTGGGCACAGGAAGTGGCAACAGTGGGCAAGCAGGACGGTGCGGCAGTCTGCTGAAGCCAGCAGGTAGCCCCCTGGTCTGCACTGGCCTGCAGACTCAGGACAGATGAAGTCCCCAAAGGGCAGAGAACACCCAGACATCCCGCACCTGGAGCACACAGCACACTTCCCCGGAGATCAGAGACTCCCGCGGAGAAAGGGCCTGGGTGCTGAACTCCAGAGCACCAAGGAAGGAAGGAGGGGAAAGACGGGCCCACTTACCTTTTGCAGGGGTCCAAGCAGCCTCTTCGAGGTCCAGGTGTCCCTGTACACCGCAAGCACAAAAGGCTACTCAGCTTTGCTAAGTTTGGCCTCGCACCTTCAGAGAAGAGGTGCGAACTTGCAAAGGAAAAGCGTTGGAGGTTCTTGGAGAGAGGTCCCCCTGAACTTGGGAAGGGTAACGCAATTAATTCTGCTCTCTGCTCGAGAAGTTAATATTTAAAACACCTACGCAAAAATCATAACGGCCATTAAAACCTCGAATCTCCGCTTTGAAAGTCTCCTACACGAGCCAGGCACAAAATTCAGACCTCCACAACTTCATCATAAGGTTGCTAACTTCTTTCAGGAAGGGCTTTAGAACTAGGTACTGTATAAATAGGACAAACACAAATGTCATTCACTCCAAAACACTAGAAAGGAGAACTTTTACTGAAACGAAGAACAAGTAAAAGAGTATAAAAGCCAAAAGAGAAGAAGTTCAAAACTTTAATTACAGCACGAACAGAAGTTTTCACAATTGGTTTCCTTAAACGGGATAACAAACACACCAGCAATCTAATAGTGCAATGCACTTCACTTAAATTTGGAGTAACCAAATAACCTGAACACCCAAATACCAGTGCCCTTGGGAGTCTGCCTCAAAGTGGTCGGAACTTACGTTTCAGAAGCAAAAGCAAAAACCAAATTGTGAACAGTGCTCTGCGTTAATATGTCGTTTTGCAAAAGGACAAGGCATTGTCCTTCGACTTTAAGCGGATGGAGAATACTATTAAATTTTCTTTGACTGTCCCAGTCATCCTGTTGAGAAGACCACAAGCTGTAGTGACCACAGCAGCAGCGGAGCATCGCCACAAAGGAGGTGGGGAAAAGTGGTTTTAAAAAAATGCCTGAACTTTTTTCAGAGAAAAATAAAGATACATGAAAAATAACTTTTACAGACATGCCTTTCCCAGCTTAGGAAAGTTAATTTTCAAATGTGCTTCTGCTGTCTAAGGTGCAAAGCCAAAGCTGGGGGAGTGCGTGGCTGGAATCTGCATGCTGATAAGAGAAGGCTGATGTACTTACAGTGACAGAGGGCAGGCTTCGGGAGAAAAGCTGTTTGTGTTAGCCTGCGAGTTACCCAGGGCTGCAATGAGAGCAGAAGGGAGGAGTGGGAGTGCCAGTCTGCGTACACCTTCACCGCGGCTCATTACATCTGCCAGCCTCTCTCTCCCTCTCTCTTTCATTTCCACATTCCCTTTGTTCCTGAAAAAAAAAATCTACACGTCACATCAGAGTCCCCAGATGCAGTCTACACCAAAGAAAAAAATGAATAATTCAATCAAACTGTGCATAGTCTCTAAGGCAATAAATCTATTGCACTTAAAGAAACGAAGGGTAATTACCACCATGGAATTAGAATAAGGCCAAAGACCAGAGATGTCGCTGAGTCTCTGGGTAAACTCCCCGGTCAAATAAAGTTTCATTTATTTAATCCCAAACGGAAAGTCAGAGAAAGATTTTTAACTTATTTTAGAAGGGCACTGACTTCTTTCTAAACACATCATAGAAGGGGGGAGGGAAGAAGGAGAGAAAAGCTTGGCGCACATCACCTTGTTCAAAAGCTCCCAAAGGCAGCAGCACCGAGCAGGCACCAACACCAATCAAGACAATGTATGTCCGTGAAGACTGTCCAGGGTCCATCCCCCCCACCCTCCTCCACTCCCCTCTGATCACGGGAGGAGCGCCCTTCACTCGCACGCCACTGCAGCTCTGCGGGAGGGCAACTGGAATCTGGGAGAAAACCTTACCTGAAGCCCGGAGACCTAAGAGAAATCCCGCTTCCCTGCCAGCACCAACACCCCATGCCATTCCTATGCACCCCTCCAAAGTCCTGTCACCATCTACTTCTTCCATCTGCCTAAATGGGATTTTCCCCCCACGATTGAATGGAAGCTCTG